TATTATTATTATTATACTTTATTCATTAAACATGAAGCTCAGCCAACAATTCAATAATAATAATAAGTATTATTATTATTATACTTCATTCATTAAACATGAAGTTCAGCCAACTGAACATTCCACTGCCCAGCGGTGGAATTTTGATCACACGCCCGGGGTGTGTGTGTGTGTGTGGCTGCTGCCGCCAGGCTCCGAATGGAGGAAAACCGCCCTAAGCAAGAACGGTCACTAAATGAATTGTTGTAAGTCGAGGACCAAATGTGTGATTGGACACGCAAGGAATCTGTCTCCAGGACAGAAACTCTCATACATGCAAAGCAAAAGCCTCCTCTTCTTCCTCCTCCTCCTCCTCCTCCTTCCAACAGGGAGAAGAAAAGAACCCAAGAAGGATATATAATAATACTACTACTGCTACTACAGCTACAATACCTGAGTCATTATTATTATACCACGATATCATAATAGAATAATAAACATGACAAATTCCTTGGGTGTCCTTGGCCAATAAAGAATTCTATCTTTGCAATATGCAGGTTGCCTTCAACTTCCAACAGTTCCACTTAGTGACTGTGTTGGTTACAACAGCGCTGAAAATGTGGCTTACGGCCGTTTTTCACAGTTACGACCATTGTAGCATCCCCATGACCAGGTGATAAAATTTCAGAGGCTTCAGACGCTATGTCCCCGCGGTTACTTGAGCCCCTTTGGGAGCTTCTGACAATCAACAGGGAAGCCGGATTCACTTAACAACCCAGTTACTACTAACTTACCAACTGCAGCAATTCACTTAACAGCCGTGGCAAGGAAGGTCTTAAAATCGGGCAAAACTCACTGAACAAATCTCTCACATAACAACAAACATCTAGAGCTCCATTGTGGTCGTAAGCTGAGGATTACTTGTATTGCAAAAGAACACATAGTATAATTTGTAATACATGTACAATATAATGTATATAAGATTATATATATGGATGGTCTCTTGTGACGAGCCGATAGACAGAATGGAAATAGTGAACTTCCTCCCATATTTGGGCATACCAGGGGTTGTGACTTTAAATATATACCTTTCTCCCTG